TTTCCTTCATTTTCTAGTTAGTATGCAAATATAAGGGCAAGAGGTGGCATACGCATTGGATAATGAGGACAGAGCAGCAACATATTGAGGATCGTGGTGCAAAAGACAGAAGGAACAAAAAGACAGAAGGAACGTAGCGTTCTAACACCATGGGGACACTATCTGCCAATGGATAGCTTATGTTTGGATTAGCACATGAGATAAATTAATTTTTATGTTAATTAACCCACTGTTATTTTGGGTGTTTCTCCAACTTTAACTAATACAAAGGTATGAGAATCAACATTATCATGGTATTAATGGAAATGAAAATAAAGACACATTTAAAGGGTGATATGAAAAACTGCATTTATATCACCAAAGTGAATTGCCTTACAATCCCTTTCACTTCCTGAAAGGACCCTTCCTGTAGTATCTATATTTTCTTTCCCCCCATGACCTCCCACTTACTAAGTTTGCTAGTTCCTTTCTCTAAACAAGGGTATGCACTTTGCCTTTGCATGCACTCTGCTCTGGCACCAAACTGTTCCTACTCCTAATTTTCCAAGCACATTTCTAAGGCTGGATTCCCTCCAATGTGTACTTTCCCTCTTCCTGCTTGCAGTCTCTTCCTATTCCACACCGTCCTGCACACTATCACTACATTTATAGACCTCATCCACCGCACCACGATCCCTCATTAAAAGCCACCAATGGCAGCCTATTGGCGTAATACCTATGTTCTCACTTTCTACCTCCCAACCTTGTAATGCAGATGGCAGAAAATGTAAGGTGATTGCAGCACTCTTTCTGGAAGAGCAACCAGAAAAAAATCCTTCCCAACAGAATGTTTCAGTAACTAGTACTGACCAGTATGAACTAACGTTTGGGAAGGACCTATTTAGATTCTGTTATAAAAGATCCCTGATGTAAAAGATATAAAACTCTGATATAAAAAAATCAAGTCTAAACTGCTTGGTTTGTATTTCAGAACACCAGAATGACCCCTCTTACTCTCTCAAACTGTTATCTATCTCTCTATACATTATCTCCTATGAACCTACAGGGGAAAAAAGTGAAAAGGCTTTGAAATGGAACAGAAACTTACTGGGTATCTTCAGTCAAGACCTAGTTTTTGCCTAGCACACCTGTCTGGGTTTTCTGATTCTGTGGGATCTCTGTGCTCTCACCATCTTTGAGTTATTTATAACTTTATGAGTTGCAGATAACTGATAACAATACAAATAATTTTTGTTCACAGACAATACATTTTGTCTGGTAGGGTTCCACTGATTTTCCTTCCTCATTGTAGAAGAAGTCAATTTTGCCTTTATTGAAAATACATTTCAGCACTCTGTAGTGCCTATATATGTGTGGTTGTTTAAATGCTCCTTTAAGTCATTTGTAACTTCTTGTTCATTTCCTCATTAATTAATGAGTTAAATAAACACATTTGTTACAAGTTAATTTTATATGTGTATGGGAGTCATGACTTTACCTTAAAAAATCCTTTTAACAAACCCTTTTGTTTATTACTGCCTTAGACTTTGATTACATCTCCAGTATGAAAGGTCTTCTCTGGCTCTTTCTACCCAACTACTGATTCTTCATATTTCAGAAATAAATTTAAGCTCCTTATCATGTCCTCAAACTGCAAAATCTATCATTTTCACAATGAACCCAGATCACAATGATGCCTCAGTTTTCTTTACAATTATCTTTTCTTCAAAAATAGCTTCTGAAAATGCATTATCTTTTTCATTCATGGACTGTATTTTTTTGTTGTTGTTATCTTTCATCATTAATTCATTTAAATGAATGTGTCTTCTTTACCTAGAGTACAAATTCCTTGAAGGCACTGATCACAATTTACTTTCCTTTTTTCTTCCTTGGCATCAACACACTGCCTCATATTGAGCCCAACACATTTCCACTGCTGAGTCCCATCCTTGGCCCATGAGCTGGGGCTCTCAATCAAGGTTTTTTTCCCCCATATAATCACTTAGCTTTATTTAGGGAATCAACCCATTCTATTTTGGCTGAAGGTGGTTCCATCCCAGTAAAATTTACATTAAAATTTAGTGAAGATGGTTAGAGCTTCTGTGAAACACCAAATAGAATATAGTATTGACCAGGAATTCTAGGAAATAAAGAATATATTGCCATGCTTCTGGGGAATTTCTCACAACTATTGGACCAATGCTGTTTATTCCTAAGTACAGTCTTATGTGAAGTTGAGATACTTGCAGTTTGACAGTCATTCTTTCATTCTACAAATGTTTATTGATTGTCTACTATATATCAAACATTTTTGACAGACCCTGGCAATGCATTTGCAAATAAAATGCAGTTTCTAATCCAAGGAGCTTACCTGCTATTAAAGAAAGAGAGGGAAAAGTTGAGGAAGACAGGGAAAAATGGGCATGGGACTGTGACCTAAGCAGATAGATGCTTAGGTGGCAAGTTAAATCAAGTTTCTTATTATGATGAAAAGGTGATCTTCTTTTCAGGTATTATAACTACTGGACTGCTAAAATCAATCTACTGTAAATACTCCTAATGGAATGGTGAAATTTCAAACATTTGCAGATTGATAACACCATGATACATGCCCTACATGCAACATCTTCAGTACTGTTAATAACAACTCAATCAAATATGGACCAACAACATTTTTCTAAGTTTTAAGCCTGACTTGGGAGAGAATAATAAATGATCTTGAGATAGCTTTCAGCATATTTGATTTTATGAACTATAAAGTATTTTATCAGTTGAACAGTCTACCAAGTTCATTAAAATCTGTCCCTTAAAACGTCATATGAAATCAAAGGACTTCATAATATTTGATCATTAACATTATTACTAAGCATTTTAATTTTTATGGTTTTATTTATAATTATTTCAAATTGAAACTATCAAAAAACTACTGCTGTTTAAAACCTAGTCCATTTAATCAATTTTATTTTTCCCATGATGACTTTTTATTTTTAACTTTATTCTTATGGGAACTTTTAGGATAGGACATTTATGATTCTATTCCTATGTACTTTGTTAGTGAAGAGGTTAGATAAAAAATATTAATAAATACAAATAGTCATTGTTGCTGATATAATTTTCAGTTTTGCATGGTATATAGGTAGAATTCAAATGATGAAATAAGAAGTAACAAGCAATCACATAATGGTAACAATAACATTTGTTTGGTCCTAAATATTTTCACATGTATTTTCTCTCTTAATTCTTAAAGCAACCTGATAAAATAATTTTAATCACAACCATTTTACAGATGAAGAAAACAAGAAAGAAGTCATCTGCTAGATGTTGCATAAGCGGCATTTTGTACACCAAATCCAGGTCTTCAAACTCAACAATTATGTTTTTGTTCAGATTTTTTAAAAAAGCATTTAATTCGTAGGCCAAATTCTGTTGGCAAGTCACTTTCTAAGGGTAAGTAAAATATATGTGGAAGAACATTAAACATTTTATTCACCAAGAATGTCATCATACTGAAACTGAGAAAAGTGTACTTTCTAAATGACCCAGTTAAATCTCAGGAAGAAGTTATTTATCCATAGGGTCTGGACACTGTCAATCAAAATCACTTGCTTGCATATTACTGAAATGTGGTACCTAACCATCTTTCCTCTCTTCATACTGACAAATAAACATTTCATTTTTTGTTAACCTTATTATCTAAATAATTTTTTCCTGCTTGTTAAAAATGTAAAAAGAAAAAAATATCACCACCACTAAGATACTTCTAATATTTTATGTATTTTCTTAGTCTTTTTAAATGTAAAATATGCATATTTAATATTTTTGTCACTCTTTATATATCTTTATATATCACTTTTTCATATATTAGCATGGTAATATTTACTTTTTTTGAAAACCTGACTTTTTATGGCTGCATAGTATTTCATCAAATACTTGAAAAACAAAAAGGAATAAAACTAAAACCTATAATTCTTGTGTAACTTATCACTGTTGTGAGTTTTGCTTACTCTCTTCCATTCTTTTTTATATGCCTATATGTAATCATTAAAATATACACAATTTTATATCTTGAAATTTTTTCCATTTAATATTATAAGCCTTTGCATAACCACTGTGGCATGTTGGGTGAAAATTCCATACACTACAGAACCATAATTTTATTGACAATAAGTTGGTTTTCCTTCACTTTTTTTTTTTTTTTTGAGACAGAGTCTTGCACTGTTGCACTAGAGTGCAGTGGTGTGATCACGGCTCACTGCAATCTCCGCCTCCCAGGTTCAAGCAATTCTCCTGCTTCAGCCTCCCAAGTAGCTGAGATTACAGGTGCTCACCACCATGTCCAGCTAATTTTTGTACTTTTAGTAGAGACGGGGTTTCATCACGTTGGCCAGGCTGGTCTCGAACTCCTGACCTCAAGTGATCCGCCTGCCTCAGTCTCCCAAAGTGCCGGGATTATGGGCGTGAGCCACTGCGCCCGGCCAAAAATAATTTTTCAATGAATATTGTATGCATGTAGTCTTTACATCTATGAGCTTGAAAAGTTATTTCTTAATAGTACATTCCTACAAGTAAGATTATTCAGAAAAAGCTGACATGCTTTCATTATTCTTTTTGTGACATTGGTGGGTGAAAATAATGTTTATAAAAACCAAGAATGTTAAAATCTTAGACATGAAAGAATAAATAGCAACCTGATCTCAGTTTCTTATCAACCAATCCTTTTAGTGATTGTGAAATACAGTAAAAAATACACCAAGTATTGACTATAATTGATATATTTTTCATAAATTAGTACATCTTGACATGAAGAAGTACTGAGAGATGTGACCACTTAAGTATGCTCACATTTTTATTTAATTTTTTTCATTTCAAAGTCTATATCCACATACCTTTTAGATACAGTTTAGTTTGTTATGTAGTTCTAGAAATGATTTCTGAAACTGCTTCCTTTGGTGTGCTCTGAAATCCACAACAGGAGACAGCAGTAATTCTGATACAAGGAGAAAGAAAATGCCCCAACTTACCGTTTCTAATGCAATTACACGGTCCTGCAAAGAAAGCATAATATATAATTATAAAACGAAGGCTGTTAAAAATTGTTTCAAGTTTACTTAATTTATAGGTATTCTATTTACCGTCTATTATTAATAATTTTTTAAAAAATGTAAAAAATGAGAACTACTCAGAATGCTCTCTATAACAGAAAAACAGTCATCAAAGAATGACTGTACCTTTTTTCATCTCATTTAGTGTTAGGACTATAGGGTTTAAGAGTAAATACTACAATTCAATGAAAGGAATAGATCTTACCACTTTTGCAATGGTAAGATTATTTACAAGGATATAAAATGTTAGATTTGATTATATGAATCACAACTAGACAAGAGTAGTGATATAGACAAGGAATTAAGCACATATTTTAGCTCTTAATTAGGTATACAGTGAAAAAGGTGGTCTCCACAACAAGGTGAAATTCAGACATATCTTCATCAATTAAACTAAATGAGTAAATCATTATTGAAAACAAGGCAGGAAAATAAATCAGAAAGATATGGCACATGCAGCCAATCCTGAGCCCAGATAGGCCTTCATTGTCTACAGCATCTTAGAATGTTTATAAAAGGGGTCATTGATAACAGTGCATCAAAAGTTAAATGATTAAGAAAATGTTTGTATTCTCAACTCCATAGTTGTATTCTCAAGTCTTTCCAGAGGTGACATCTATAAACAGGAAGTCTTTACCAAATAAAGACTGAATCTGAGACAAAGCAGAGTGTGAAGATTTCACAAAATGAAAAATCCTTTTTAAGGAGGACCGAGGCCATTTGTCTTTGTTTTCTCTCATTTTAAGAACTGGAGGAGGACGGGTGCAATGACTCACGCCTGTAATTCCAGCACTTTGGGAGGCTCAGGTGGACAGATCACAGGAGGCCAGGAGTTCAAGACCAGCCTGGAAAACCTGGTGAAACACTGTCTCTACTAAAAATTAAAAAAATAGCCAGGTGTGGTGCTGCATGCCCATAATCCCAGCTACTTGGGAGGCTGCAACAGGAGAATTGCTTGAACCCAGGAGTTGGAGGTTGCAGTGAACCGAGATCATGCCACTGCACTCCAGCCTGGGCAACAAAGCAAGACTACAGCTCAAAAAATAAAAATAAAATAAAAGAACTAGAGGAAATATGTGGAATCTGGATTTTTAAAAATAAAATTAACTAATCATTTAAAGAAGCGTAATGGTTAACACTGAGTGTCAACTTGACTGGATACAAGGATGCAGGGTGTTGATCCTGGGTGTGTCTGTGGGGTGTTACCAAAGGAGATTAGCATTTGAGTCAGTGGGCTGAGGAAGGCAGACCCACCGTTAATCTGGTGGGCACAATCTAATCAGCTGCTGGTGAATATAAAGCAGGCAGAGAAATGTGAAAGGGGAGATTGGCCTAGCCTCCCAGCCTACATCTTTCTCCTGTGCTGGATGCTTCCTGCCATCGAACACTGGACTCCAAGTTCTTCAGTTATGGGGCTTGGACTGGCTCTCCTTGCTCCTCAGCTTGCAGACAGCCTATTGTGGGACTTTGTGATCGTGTAACTTAATACTTAATAACTCCCATTTATTTATATATATATATATGTGTATATATATGTATATATGTGTGTGTATATATATGTATATACGTGTGTGTGTGTGTGTGTGTATATATATATCTCCTACTAATTCTGTCCCTCTAAGAGAACGTTGACTAATACAAGAAGTAAAGAGAGAAAAATGGTGCACAGAATGACTCAGCCCAGGTCTCTTGTGGTCCTGCAGGGACCCACAGAGACCTATGACACTTGGAAGCAGAATGAACTTGGCCCCTACTGGCATTCTCTCAGTATCACATGAAATAGAGGGCTCACTTCTAAAGAGTTCTGCGAACTAACTTCCAGCAATCAGACTGGGAAACAGTTGAACATTTCCACCCTGTAAACATTTGGCTATGTGGGCATGAATTAAATGAATACATTATGCAAAATTAGCCCAAAGCAGACTGTTTCTAGCAATATAATCTGTTTAATTGCATTTTGTTGGCATACTTAAGAGGGCCTCACCCTTACCCTCATAATTTTCATAAAATAACTGCTATTTTGTTGGTGACTTGTATATTGTCACATTTGAGCACTTCATAACACACGCGTATGATGCCTCAAGGGGGTTTTGATCTATTGTTGCCAGGAATCTTATTCATTGCGCATCTGGGACAAAAACCATTCAGCAATACTTTAACATCCTTTGCAGATTGAACAGAACCTCATTAGATGCCTTATACAGAGAGAAACAGCCTTTGGGCAGTATCATATTTATATGAACCATCTTGGGAGGCTGAAAATATTTACAGCCCTATTTGGGCCTTAAGTTTTCCTTATACCATGGGTTTGTGGGTTGTTATTAGTTAAGATTAACGTATTTTAAAAGCATACCTAGAGCTGCTTTTAATATTTTAAATTTTCATATAATGTCAAAACAGAACAGAATTAAACTGTCTGTCCTAATTCATATCTTAGTGTTTAGCAAAGACAAACTGATAGCGTTGTAAGTTGTGTATGAGTCCCTTCATTTTACTTAATTTTTTATTTTAAAGGAAATATGTGCCTAGTTTTTGTGACTATGGACTCAAATGGTCAAGACAACTCCATTTTGTTGAAATATGAAGGTCAAATATATATATATATACACATATACACACACACACACACACACATATATACATATATATACATACACTTTTTTTTTCTTTTTTTGAGATGGAGTCTCACTCTGTCACCCAGGCTGGGGTGCAGTGGTGTGATCTTGGCTCACTGCAAGCTCCACCTCCCGGGTTCACTCCATTCTCCTGCCTCAGCCTCCCGAGTAGCTGGCACTATAGGTGCTTGCCACAATGCCTGGCTAATTTTTTTTTATTTTTAGGAGAGACGGGGTTTCACCATGTTAGCCAGGATGGTCTCGATCTCCCGACTTCGTGATCCGCCCACCTTGTCCTCCCAAAGTGCAATAAATAAATATATTTGAATCCACTTTAGTTATGTTTGTTTGCCTATAACCTACTCTATTCCAAAATGGTTGAGATAGCTTTCAATAAAAAAATTGTATGCCAAAAAACATGAGGAAATTAGAGAAATAGAAAATTCAGTTCATTAACCTGACTTTCAATAATTCAATATGCCAATCAACAACAGCTAATAAGATACCAGCCATTGTAGTCAATTACTGATTTTGTCTAAATTACAGTTTTCAGTCTCAATTTTAGGCTGTAAGTAAAGAGAAATTATTGCTAGTCTTTATGAACTTCTTATTTGATTTTAAAATTTAAAAAATGCATTTTGAAAACTTAAGTGGTTATGGTTGACACTGTTTTAAATAAAAAATTATGCTACTGTGTGTCATTACTCTCAACGGAAAATAAGCCCACAACAGTGTTTTTCTATTTTTTTTTTTTTTTTTTGGAGATAGGGTCTCCCTCTGTTATTCAGGCTAGAGTGCAGTGTCACAGTCAGAGCTCACTGCGGCCTCTATCTTCCAAGCTCAAGTGATCCTCCTACCTCAGCCTACCAAGTAGCTGGGAGTATAGGTGTGCACCACCACACCCAGTTAATTTATTTTTTACTTTTTGTAGAGATGGGATCTCACTATGTTGCCCAGGGTGGTCTTGTACTCCCGGGCTCAAGCAATCCTCCTGCCTCAGCCTCCCCAAATGCTGGGATTACAGGCATGAACCACCATACCCAGGCCATTATTGTAGCTTTGATATGTTTCATGATTAAAAAAGAGAGACCCAGTATATGTCCTAGAATGAACATATAATTACAACAAAATAAATTATATCTCCATAACCTCTCCCATTTTATCCAGAGCTGCCTTTGTAATTTTTTCCCCTTTTTCTTTAATCTACAATTTTCATTTAAACAGATTTAAGTTCAACCTGCGGGTTCATTACTCCACCCACACTTCCAAACCACCAATCCCTGAACCCCACTCTCAACATGCTCCCAAGACTTAATCCTGAAAAGAAAAGCATTGCTAGAACAATGAAAGGGCATTAGGAGGTAGGAGAAGTAGAGAAGGAAGACCACCTCCAGGAAATAATGAAGATACTTCCATGCTATTTTAGATGGTTTTAATAAATCAGTGGCTCTTATTTTTGTAGTAATAAACTCTGAGAGTCTAATAAAACTTGACATTCTCCCTAGGAAAATGTACATTATATACAACACACATATATAATTTTATATATACTTTTTGGGGTAATGCAGACTCTTTGAAGCCTACCCATAAGCCTCCAAGTCTTTTTTTTTTTTTTGAGATGGAGTCTCACTCTGTCGCCCAGGCTGGAGTGCAGTGGCACAATCTCGGCTCACTGCAACCTCTGCCTCCTGGATTTAAGTGATTCTCCTGCCTCAGTTCCCAAGTAGCTGGGACTACAGCTGCGTGCCACCACATCCAGCTAATTTTTTTGTATTTTTAGTAGAGACAGGGTTTCACTGTGTTAGCTAAGATAGTCTTAATCTCCTGTCCTCGTGATCCGCCCGCCTCGGCCTCCCAAAGTGCTGGGATTACAGACGTGAGTCACCGCTCCCAGCTCAAGTCTTTTTATTCCAAATAAAAACACCTAAAATAAGACATAAAAATATTATAAAAATAAATTATTATATTACACTAAATGTATTTATTTCTTCTTTATGAAACATGCCTAGATAAATAACCTCAGTAACAAAGAAATAAACAATTATGACTATAACTAAGGGCTCTTATAGGGCAGAAGTAAAAATGTAAAATTCTAAGTAGGAGTGAAGTGTTAAACAGAAAACAAAGGAAAAATTTTCTTCAAATACTTGGAAGAAAAGAGCTTTCTGGGAAAAAGCCTGTTTTGCTGCTACTGTTTACACGTGATTAGATAGTCCCTTTTCTATTATTCTTTAGTTATAAGAAAGGGAAAGTTCACGAAACACCTAAATTGACACAAATATTTTTAAAAATGTTTACTCTTAATGACTGTACATGTAGTCACTGCATAGACATTGAATGACAATGGAGGGGCACTAATAGCTGTTCTTACCAATAAGTGAATATTACACTTTCTAAGTAAAGATAATGTGGCTACACATCATGTTTTAATTTGTTCTGGGTTTGACAGATCAGGTGAAGAGAAGCCATACAATATAGGCTTCCCTCAATATACAAATTATTTTGGGGGAAGCCTATAGCATGTATACTATAAAAAGATGTATTTTACCTTTTGAGGTTAATGAGGTTTTGAAACTGCCTTTGCAAAATTATAACTGAGGAAATTATGACAGTGACAGAAATTCAACCTAACTGACTCTATCTTGCTTCTTTCTAACCCTTAAGCTGTCCGTGTTCATTCCTGGGTGTTGGCTGAACTAACTTTGGGAAGGAATTCAGTTCACGGTTTGACTCTGAAACAAAAGTGATAACCGCCCTTTACCGAAAAGACTTTATTCTTTTCTGGGGTCCAGTCTGCCTTTGCAGGACTCACAAATTAGCTACAAGATTAGAAATTTAGGCCAGGCACGGTGGCTCACATCTGTAATTCCAGCACTTTGGGAGGCTGAGGTACGTGGATCACCAGAGTTCAGGAGTTTGAGACCAGCCTGGCTAACATGGCTAAACCCTGTCCCTACTAAAAATATGCAAATTAGTCGGGCGTAGTGGCAAGCACCTGCAATACCAGCTACTTGGGAGGCTGAGGCAGGAGAATTGCTTGAACCCAGGAGGTGGATGGAGGTTGTAGTAAGCCGAGATCACACCATTGCACTCCAGCCTGGGCAACAGGAGCAAAATAGTGTGAAAGAAAAGAAAAGAAAGAAAAGAAAGAAAGAAAGAAAGAAAGAGAACAGAAAAGAAAAAAGAAATTACAATTTAGGGGTCATGCAGCCTCTGGCTTCCAGAGTCTGAACCTCCCCAAATTGCTCCTGTGGATAACATCATTATTGCATAAACCTAAGATCAGTGCTTGAGATAGTTTACAGAGCCTGCACTGGATGGATCGGCTGACACCACCCACACCAGTAATCTGGCCCAACCAGTTCTGCCCTCCCACCCAAAAACAGAAGACATTAAGATAACCGAACTTTAACCCCCTATGATTCCATCTCCAGTCTGACCAATCAGCACTCCCCACTTCCCAAGTTTTTAAGGGTAATTTGGTGAGCCCCTACTCACCAAATTATCTTTAAAAACTCTGATCCGTGAATGCCTGGGGAGACTGATTTGAGTAATAAAACTCCAGTCTCTTGCACAGCCGGCTCTGCGTGAATTACTCTTTCGCCATTGCAATTCCCCTGTCTTGATAAATAGGCTCTATCTAAGCAGCTGGCAAGGTGAACCCATTGGGTGGATACAGTTTGTAACTAGCCTTAAGCTGTATATATTCATTTACTACCACAGTAAAGTGTACTTTAGAATTAGGAATGGACCAAGGCAAATTCATTAGTATCACTGGAGATGAGCAAATATTTGTAGGCTGTTAGGAAATGAGCATTAAATGGATCATTTGTTATCAGAATATCTAATCATTAAAAGTTTATTGATTCAGCTGAGCTAATCAGCCACATCGATTCATCCATCACATCTCAGAGATGAATTAGAAGCTCATAGGTCTAAATAATAAGAATTCTTCTGCCTCTGGTGAGTACAGTTGAAAGGTGTAGTGACTTTATTTTATCATAATCAGCATTTTCCAAGAATGCTTTAAATATATCATTAGCATATGAAAAAGCATAACACTGGCATAAAAACGTAACAAGAGTCTTCTACCTTTTCCAGGTCTTAGAAGCTTGAAGAGTATAGAATAATTCTGGCAACTTCTCTGGGACTTAGGGACCATGATGGACATACCCACATTGAGGACTCCCGACCATCATTATTGTAAAATACAAAGCCTGTCTTCCGGAAGAAAACGCCACTCAGCTTCACCCAAAGAGACCACTGCATGGTGTTCTTCCTTCCAGTGTCAACTCTGTTTAATCCACACTCACACTTTACCTGCTACTCCCTAAATAAATCCTATAGAATGAAATACAAATATGTATATATTTTCTCAACATTTCCCCATGACAATCCACTACATTTAAAAAATTTGTCAGTCATTCTTAAATAATTAAAAGAGCTAGAAATCATTTTATTTGAAATTATTTGAATACATTTAAAATCGTATTCTTTGCCAAACTTTAAGATAATGAAAAGAAAAGGAAAAGGCTTTGATTAATCATCACACACAAAAGGTCAGCATTTCATATAGTGATTTAAAATAAATTAAAACAAAATAGAGATAAAAATCACTATCTCAATGTAGCAACATCAAAAAGGCTTTAAAATATAGCATAAGTTGGCTCTGAATATACCAAATGCATCTGTGATTTATATATAAAATTGTATGCTATCTATTACAAGTCAGTGAAAGAAGTTAGTCTATACATCAAATACTCCAGGATGGGTGGCATTGGAGCAGCTTGCACTGGTTTCCCAATCATCCTGTGTTCACTGTAACCATCATTAGATACCTGTAGTCAATTTCTGTTAATTCATTTCACTGGCTGCTTATGTGCCTTTTCAAACAACTTACTTCAGTGTCTAAAATAACACAACACACATATTGAAGAAAAAACAAAACAAAACAGCAAGGCTTAAAGATTTTGTCTGAAAAGTTGTCAAGAAAAAAACAACAACAACAACAAAAAACCCAACGTTTTGACTTAGGAAGAAAAGCCAATTAAAGGTGATATGTCATGTTCTAGCCTCCAGGGAGGCCCAGTAATGGTTCTTGTTGCCTGATTTTCAACCTGGGTGTGGCAAATCTCTGATAGAACTAGAAGTAGAAACAATCACAGGATTTAAAAACAGACTCAAAGTGGGTGATCCACATTTCCAATATGTTCTCTCATTTACTACCGTTGCCTTGTCAGAGACCTGAGGGCAGCCAATTGTTCTTCTGTAGCTTTCTTCTGCTGTGTTCTCTGGTTGGTGTTTTAGTTTGTGGTTTTATTATGAGGAGACTACTGACCATTATACTTCAGTTTTGACATTGTTCAGGAAAGGCTGCGGTTGTATTTATATTGAAGTGGGATATGTGTATGGGTTTGTGGGGTGAAGAATGCAAGTGGGGTAAAGAAAGAAGATGAAGAGAATGATACAGAAATGGGGGTCTATTGGTTTGCTTGGACAGATTTCAGACTGGAAAATATAGCCTGAGAGGCAAGGTACAGTTTTATTTAAAATCCCTGTAAGTACTTGTAGGTAGCTGTATGAAACTGACACCAAAAATTCTGATACTACCCTTTAAATTTCAAATCACAAAGCAAAGCAATGAGCTTTCTTTTTCTTATTTTCCTTTAAAATAATCATTTCAAGATTCTTCCTTTAAAGCACAATGTAATGTGCTACATAGGTGTGTGCTACAGAATATCACTACAGACAAAATGAAGGGCAAGGGACAGAATTATCTTTCTCCAGGGACTGTCAAATTCTCCAGTGAAACTGCTCGTAACAGGTAACAAAGGTGAGTGACGTCTGGACTGGCGAACAACTAAAGATTATTTGCAGATAAAATAAAGACTATAATGGTGGCTAGGGGCAATGCAAAGGACAACCAGTGCAATTTCAGATGCTAAGTGTCCCCACAAAAAGATGGAGAAAGAGGAATTGAGGAGTACCAGGAGAAGGCCAACAACTCAGAAACCGGCACACTATATTTTTCAAGGATTTACATTAAAAAAAAAAAGTACACGATGCCACTTGTGAGGTTAGTCATATATCAATGGAATATGCTCTGAACTACTATGCAAATCATATTGCAAGAGTGATTATGGCCTAATTTACGAGCAGGCTTGTGTCATGCAGAACTTGTGGGAAATAAGAGGGTATGCTTCATTTTCAGGTACACAAAGGGTTCTGCATCTGACTGCCACTGAATATAGCTGGTCTAATGAGACTCCCTGAGGCTGACATCTCCTTTGTTTCCCCGAAGGGCACATATCTCCTGGGCTTCTAGGTGAAAAAGTTTACAGAGAAACTCATATAACCACAGAATCCTTCCTCCCACGCCGTGTTCTCCTGAGTCTTTGAATTACAGCACGGGGTTGTTGACTATGATGCATGTCACACAGCTGAGTCATTAAATGCTACAAGTAAATAGTCCACCTTGGGAATTAAATGACTTACCTTTGGGCAATTCCAGTAATCCACAACATAATTTACATGCAGAGTCATTTACAGGAACTAATGCACAAGGAACATTGTAATGGAGACTCTTTCTTTCCCGTCACTCCCATATTCTTTCTGTGTGCTTCTGTGTTCAGTTACCTCTCAGCATTCGACACTAGAGGGACCGCTGATGAGGATGATCAACGTCGAAGCAGAAAGTCTTAAACTAATACAATGGCTGAGATGGGGTAGCTTTTTCTTGCTTCTTAATTCAGTTTGACTGAGATTAAAACTATTATTAATCTCCATTTCCCAACACACACGCACAGGTAAGAAGGGAAATGTAGCGAAATAATTTAAAGTAACTTCAGATTATCTGCCCTCTGATTATCAATGGTGCACTCTTCTTTCTAAGAACAACGAGGGAAAAAAAACCCAACAACTAAGTTTTTAGCTGCACTTCTGGGAAGCATACATGAAGGCTGACTTATCCTATATACACTAAAATAAAGCAGATGTGTGTTAACTATTCAGTTCCAAATATCCTAAATATTCCTATGAAATACTTAACTGCTTTTTCTTCCAATTGAGCGTCACTCTGATTTCTCACTGCAGTCTGACTAGCATCTTCCCAAGGTGGAAGTTTAAACAGTAGCTTCGGCTGTTTGAGAGAGATGTGAGTTATGAAAAAGACTTGGAAAGCTCTATCATCTTAAAGTAATTGAAAATGTTATAAATAATAATAGCTACAAAAACAGCACTAATTTGACTATAATAATTTCAAACAAATTTCTAAATTTCTGCCTTTAGAGAAAATGATATGATGTAGTACTTTTAAAATGGTCCCCCAAATAATTCTTACCCAAATTAAAGTCACAAATTTTAGGGAAATTATTACTTTAAATTTAAAACATTTTACTTTTCAGGACTGTAAAGAGTAGTGATTTAGCTCAAAGCATCTTCAACTATATAGGTTTCAAAATCATCCCTGGAAGTAAGTGATCCTAAACTCCAAAGTCCATGAAATGAAGGAGTAAACTGGATGAGAGTTTGTTAACAGCTCCGCCTGGACGGTTTTCACTGGTAATGACAGCTACTCTCAGCACTCACAGCCTTACCTGTGGATAATGGAATGCTGATATAGTGTGGTTGTAGGAGATCAGAAAAGTCTGATTACTCACAATTATAATTCCTTTCCTTTTACCAAATTATTTCAAATTCTACCAACAGAAATTTATTATTTGAGGAAAAACTCAAAAAATTATTCTTATTAGACTCTCCCTATGCCAGTTAACTGTTAAACTAGTTCATTCTAAAGCAGGTAAGCAAAGTCTAGGCAGGCACCTGTTGTTACAGGCCCATTATCTGAAAGTGGTCTTTACATGTTTATTTGGTTGAAAACAATCAAAGCAATAATAATACTGCATAACATAAAATTACCTAGACAGGTACCTAGACAGCTTACATCCCTATGAAGAGGTAACATTTGAGCTGAAACCTAAAAGATGGAAATGAACCAGCCACTGAAAGAACTAAAGGAAAAGTATTACCGAGAGAGGCAGATGCAAAGATCCTGGGACAGGAATGGGTTTCCTTAATTTCAAGAACAAAAGGGACACTGGTATGTGTTATGCCTATTAATGAAAACATCCCTTTATCTGACTTATCTGATTTTTATCAGTACCATAAAAATCAAAACTATTTATTGTAAGTTTAATTGCCAAAATTGCATTGGGTACTTCTAACATATGTTCTTATTTTTTATTTATTTATTTTTTTGAGACGGAGTCTTGCTCTGTCACCCAGGCTGGAGTGCAGTGGCACAACCTTGGCTCACTGCAACCTCCGCTTCCTGGGTTCAAGCGATTCCCCTGCCTCAGCCTCCTGAGTAGCTGGGACTACAGATGCGTGTCACCACGCCTGGCTAATTTTTGGTATTGTAGTGGAGACGAGGTTTTACCATGTTAGCCAGGATGGTCTTGATCTCCTGACCTGGGGATCCACCCGCCTAGCCTCCCAAAGTGCTGGGATTACAGGTGTGAGTCACTGTGCCTGACCCATATGTTATTACTTCTAATGTTCACAAAAACTTCCAGTAGGAGGACATCATTAATTTCACTCATTTAAAGTCAGGAACATGGACTTCAAACACATTAGGTGTGTTGAAGTTCACGTTGTGATTAAATGTGGGGGGTGGGGAGGGGGTGCTGGTCTGTAATCCAGCTCCATCTGACTCAAAACAGTCTATATTAACCTCAAAAACAAACTAAAAATCATGAGTGTGTGTGTGTATTTTTTTCTACTTAACAGCTCAGCAAAATGGAACTAATGGAAATACCATACGCATACAGTGAGGTTTTAAGAGCAAAGAGACAATAAATTCTTTTTTTTATTAGCATCAGGGCGATTTTGTGGTTTTGCATGGTAGAGGTTAGGGGATGCACTGGGTAACTGCTCTGGAGCCTCTTCCTTAAAGTATGCCAAAACAGACTTCCAGAACCTTATTTTTAACAGACATTAGGTAACAGTGTAATAAAACATACTGTATCAATAAAATTTAATGTCCAAATAAAAAAATTATTTGTATACATTTTTATATTTATTTCACTATATAATAAAGGGGATATTATATTGCTGCCATATGCCTTTTCTAAGTAAGTTGCAACTCCTTACTTACTCTGGGTCTGACATCAGGGCAGCTGAAGCACATGCAGTCAATACCACTGGGGAAACAGTACAAGAAAGGATTGAGGAAAGCAAAGACCTAAACTTAATTAGCTGTAATATTCTGCAGCTAAATGACACCTATATTGTGCTGGTCCCTTTTTTTTGGATCTAGACTGCAGGGGTTGAGATTCACCACTGAGACCATATATGGCCTCTGTGCTTCAATCCCTGTTTCATTCGTGACCAATTTATTAGTTCTTTTCTCACAGTGAAATGAGAACTAGGGATTTCTATTACAACCAGAATGTAGTAAAGGCATGGAATCTCTTGTAGGTACTATTTTCTATTTTACTTTATGGGCAAATACAGAAATATTGCTAACAGGCATTACACGTTATTTATTAACATGCTAATAAGACTTCACACATTTAAAAGTAAACATTAAACTTCTAACAAATTAAATCTAGAAGAGTACGTGTAATGCGGAGACTCCAGAAAAGGAATGCACTTTAGAATCAATTTTTAAAAAGTAAAATAATCAACTGATTATAATAAAAGTAAAAAGTATAAGAGGAGATGCTTATTAGTCATTTTTCCAGCTCATTTTAGTTTTATCACTTTTTGCACAATTTAAAATTTATGAAAACATTCTAATGTTGCCTTTAATTTTTGCCAGAATATTTTGAACTTGGTTGAAAACTGAAATTGAAGAAGGAGGAAAAAAAAAATGGAAGAAATTGAAAGAAAAAGAGGCCAGGATCTTAAACAATCAGAACAACAAAAAAAAAAGAAAGGTGAAGAGATTCTGTTTTTCATTGCTCTTGAGTTAAGTATAGTAGAACAGAAGTCAAGCAAGTTCAAAAACAAGTACTAGTTCTCTCACTTACTGGGTGAGGAAGCTATGAGTCTCGGCGACATTATCCATAAAATTAGAATAGTAGTTATGGACCTTGGAAGATTGTTGTGAGTAATAATTTACATAAATTTAGCAGTTTTACCACAGTGTATGACACAAAAAATTGCTTGGTTTCATGTGTGACTTTTTCCCTCTCCTTTGACACACAGACCATCACCCTTTGGGCTGATTTAGCACAATCCTGACGGGAGTTAGCAAATGCTAAATAAGTATTTGTTAGTAGACTGAAGCATAAAATAAGTGAGTTTTCAAGATCCCAGACTGGGGAAATCCTCTGCAGTGTTTCTGTATATTCTGGAAAATCAGCTAGAGATTAGGCAGGGAGATGGCCTTAGAAGTGAGAACTACAGTGTCTTTTATCATGTATTATTAGTACTTAGGATCTCAGAGATTTGTTTCATGAGTCAATGGAAATGTGTTTCAACCAGGAAGGTATTATTGCTGAGCATTTATTTCCAAATCTGTTGCACGCTGTAGTCATTACTTAGAATATTGCTTTTCACAATTGTCATTGTTACCCAGAGATAGACGATAAAATGGATTAACATGGATATTTGCCCAAAGTTTGAGGTCTATTTAGGGATGTGCTGTGAGAGGTATAAGCAATGCACTATAAAATATTACGGGGAATGATCTTGAAGTGATCACTTATGTTCTGCAACACAAATGAGATTGCTGCAAATTACAGGGTGCCCACTGACTCGAGACTGGCAAAAACTCCCAGATAAACTTAAGACTGAAATGTCATACTGTGTTGAGATTTGAAAACAAAAAACAAAAAACAAAAAACAAGAAAACATACGCTGCTATCTACATAAGCCCCAATGCCCATGAAGCCCAGAGCTCAGACTCTTGACAGTTGAACCAAGATATGTTTTCTGGAAGCATTGCTTTTCCCAAAGTCAACTGTAAAGGGGATAGTGTATGAAGATGCGTCAAATCATCTTCCCCCTGGTGGGAGGAATTTACCAATTCTGTAAAACACACCCAAGTCACTTTGTTTGTTTGTTTCTTTGCTTGTTTTGCTCTGTTGGCCAGGCTGGAATGCAATGGCATGATCTCAGCTCACTGCAACCTCCGCCTCTCAGGTTCAAGTGATTCTCCTGGCTCAGCCTCTCGAGTAGCTCGGATTACAGGTATGGGCTACCACGCCTGACTGATTTTTTGTATTTTTTTTTTTTTTTAGTAGAGATGGGGTTTCACCATGTTGGTCAGGCTGGTCTCGAACTCCTGACCTCAGGTGATCTACCCACCTAGGCCTCTCAAAGTGCTGGGATTACAGGCATGAGCCACCTTGCCCAGCCTTTTTTACTGCGAACTTTTAAAATAAACTTTCTGTCACAGAGAAATATTTGGGCTTTTGAGCTCAAAGACTATGCTTTGATTTTGCATTTTAACAATGTTTCCAAATGATGTGTGTTTTTTTAGAAGCTTTTTTAGAAGCTTAATTCAAGGAGACTGCTGAGTCCTGGCGACTTGTGCTTTTCATCCCACTGGATAAACAGAACCAGGCACGTTTTTATATTTCTTTTATTCTCAAAGGAAAATGACCTAGTCAATCAACTTCGATATATTCAGACACAAGAATACTTCTTTCACAGGGTATTCTATTTTTAAGTTTTATACTGTCATAAATTTGGGGTTAATATTAAGTCGCAAATTTCAGGTAAAACAGGCAAATTTCAGGTAAAATTTCAGGTAAAAGTTTAATGATCACTAAAATTTCAGTGGAATCCATTTTCCTGAGAGTGGGTCCCTGCTCTCATGAGGCTTCTTGACCCAGTAAATTGAAGGGTGTAAATCTAATTGGCTGAGACCCTGTTTGACTCCAAGGCAGACTGCTAATGTGTTCTGTTCTGGTGGAACTTTGTACCAAATTTAAGGTTTGGTAAGTCTGTTTACCTTTGGAGAAAATAGAGATTTAAATGACCTGTTAAGTCGCCTCTGCCTGAAAGTGGCAAAGGGTGGCCCAGCCTTCCATCCTCACAACACTGTATCTTGTTTTGTTTATGCCATTGCTTAAAACAATTATTTTTAAATCACATTTCAGAAGAAGACATAGAGAAATGTAGTTATTT